CGAGTACCCTCATTTATATGGACTACCTAAAATTCACAAACAAAGTATTCCTTTACGTCCAATTTTATCAATGTGCAGATCACCTACACATAACCTGTCTAAATAGCTAACAAAATTTTTGGACCCTATGCGAAGACATCAATGTAAGTATTCTCTAAAAAATTCTTTTAAACTGTTCGATCATTTGGGTGATATTAATATCAAGGAAAAGACAACGTGTTCATTTGATGTGAATTCCTTATTTACAAATGTACCTTTGAAAAAATAAATTGATATATTATGTGATTATATATCTTTAAACAATCTCCAATCACGTGTCCCCGTAAAAATTCTTAAAGATTTGCTATTATTATGTACTGACAACGTTCAGTTCACTTTTGAAGGTGAATACTTTCGTCAGATTGACGGGGTTGCTATGGGTAGTCTGCTAGGACCATTATTAGCAGATGTGTTCATGGCACATATTGAAAATCTGGCTGATGGCCTAATCGAAAACATGTCACTTTATAAGAGATATGTGGACGGTATCTTAGTTGTTTGTTAAGGAAATAAGGATATGCACTGTTCATTGAATGAATTTAACAATCTCCAAAACCATATCAGTCTCTCATATGAAGAGGAGAAGAATGATCAGCTCCCTTTCCTAGATATACTTCTGAGTAGACGAGAAGATGGCTCAGTCAAGCGATCCATTTTTAGAAAACCAACGTGGACGGGTCAATATCTTAGTTATTATAGTTATTGCCCTGTGAAATACAAACGTGGTTTGATAAGGTGCCTATTCAACAGGCTTGATCGTATTTGTACAAATGAAGCCATTGATGATGATGGTAAGTTTCTAAATAAAACATTAATAGAAAATGGCTTTCCTATGAAATTCATAAATATATGGAAAGTCCATGGTACGGTGAGACCAAAGTTTCGTCCAGCTAACTTGTCTAGACTTCTTCAGGGTAATAATCAAAATCAAAATCATCAAAGAAATATATAGCCTCTTAACAATCATAGCTATACTGTGTTACACCAATCAAATTTGGATGTTGATTTTTGTGAAATAGGATAATATGAGTCAGTTAACTACTATTCATGTTAAAGATTCAACTACATGGAAATTGTGTGTGGTATGTAGGTATTTATGTATGTGTGAGATTAATTATTGATGTTCTGTATTGATATGTGATAAACGAAGGAATAAATAAATAAAAGTACAAGTTCAAGGTTGATAAAATTGTTAATGAATCATCGATGTACATGTCAAACAAATACCTAAATTGTATTGCTGAAAAACTCATTGAAATCAGTCGAAAATAACGATGCATGTGAAATAAACATGTTGAATAAAGATGGGGTTCAAATTACTTGTCAAACGAAATTTGCCAGGTAGTCGCAAGTTAAATACCATCTTTTCGGTTCAGACTGTTCTTGTTCGCCCGGATATACAGCGTTTCTGCTGTCAATCTTTCTTTATGGGTGTTAAAACTTTTCTGAAGTATTTCGGTCCCTTCAAAATTAATCTTGTGTCCTGTTTCTAATGCATGTAACGCTATCACAGACTTATTCTCAAGTTTCTTCAAATCAACCGAGGATTTGATGACATTTTTCAAACACTGTTTTTGTTCCTTCAATCTTACATTCAATTGTCTGGATCTTTCTCCAACATAGGCTGCATTACAATCACGACAGTTGATCTCATACACAATATTCTGTTGTTCTTCCTGTGGTAACCTGTCCTTAACTTTCACTAACGTCGATCTTAAGGTGTTACTCGCCCTAAAATACACACTTATATCATGTTTGTTTAGAATCCACTTGGTTTCTTCTGATGTTTTACTACGGTATGGTATGACTACGGTGTACTTCCAAACTTTTCGTATACATTCTAGTTTAGTTTTTCTTTCATTTTTAATCATCTTCAAAAACTCTTTTTGGTATTTTTTATCCCTAAGAGTAGAAAATACTTTATTTAATTCAGTTCGTTGGTCTTCCTTATCTGTAACAGGCTTAGTACATCTGTTCATTAAATTTTTTTACAACATTAATTTTCGTGCACCGTGCATGGGCTGAATCGAAATCTAAGTATCTCTCGGAATGTGTTGATTTCCTGTAAACATTTATTTTCAACTTATTAATTTTGTATCTACCTTCGACTAAGCAATCTAGAAATGCTAGTTTGTGGTCAACTGATTCTAATTCCTTCATCAGCTTAATGCTTTCTGAAATGCTGTTTACATTGTTAAATAGTTCTTCTAAACCATCCCGTTTATTGATAATAAAAATATCGTCTACATACCGCAACCATAACTTTGGTGGATATACACTTCTTGCGATTGCACAAGTTTCTAGGGAATGCATGAATAAATTCGCCACAATCGGAGAAACTGGTGGGCCCATTGCTTTATCCACTTTCTGTCTGTACATGTGACCTCGAAATATGAATAAGGTAGATCTTAAACATAATTCCAAGCATTTGATAACCTCCGGTGGATATAATGGGCAACGTAAGTTCAAATCTAAATCAGATTTTAAACAATCATTGATAATATCCAAAGCTTGATTGATAGGTACATTAGTGAACAAGGAAGATTTATCAAAATTTGCCATTATTTCATTCTCTTCTATATCGATGGTATCAATCAAGTTTTTTGAATTCCATAGAGTTTTTAATTCCATGATTAATCAGTTTTTCATATGGTTTGAGTATCTTAGCTAAATATTTAGCCAGATTGTAAGTCGGTGAATTTGTAAAGTCTACCACTGATCTTAGTGGAGTATTACTCTTGTGGATCTTTGCGAGTCCATAAAATCTGCATAGGTTACAAGATTGATCATAACTCGGCCCTTGTGGTGTTGTATGAAAGTGTAAAAGGGTGTATACTAAGGTTTATTGAAGCCTTAGCCATACGAAAACTTAAACCCCCGTTGTGTATTCAAAAACAGTTTGTTCTCACCTTAAACCTACCCTGGTAATATTGACTTATTATCCAGAATGATTAGGTTTCGAATTGTGTCCACATTATTATTATTACTCTTATTATTATCATTGTCTCCTCTTGCCTCATTTCCAGTCTAGTTGACCTTTTATTTTTATATATAAATGTTCTTAGCAAGTATATGTGTGATCAGATTATTCGAAATATATTGCGCTAATATATTACATAATTCTGGTAATCTTCATCGAAATCAATATTACCCTCGGAATGTCCTTTTTTTGTTTTCTAAATATCGAAATGCTTTACTATTTAGATTTACTGAATTCCATTATACTAGATAGTTGAAATCTATTCTAGTATATGATTAATTATTTCTGAAATGGTGATATTCGTATAAATATAATTAATATAGATTATTATGATATACAGGTTTATTAACTTTGTTCAATATACATCAAGATTATTTCGATCAAAATGTTGTATATAAAAGTTCTATTTTTTTGAAGTGTACTGTAATTTTGTCATTTCAATATTTTAATCGACAATAGAATGATGCTTGTTTGTTGTAGTACTCAGTGACATCATCAACTTTTTAAGAAAATAAAAGTTATCATTATTGAGATAAGGCTGCATATATTTAGTTCATTAAATAAATGAAGCAATTTTGAATAAAGTTTGTTCATTTTTGTTCATATACATATATATAGTTTTTAAATCGATAGTTAGTTGGTTTAATCTCTGGTTAATCATCATAATCTAGTGTGTAAGTAATAGAATATCATGTTCAATTTTATAGTTGTTACGTATGTTAATATTCACAGCGGTTAGTTGTTTTGATTAAACAGATTGAGATCTATGGTCACGGTGGCTAGTTTTTTATACACGTACTACAGTTGTGTTCGAAAGAGTTAGAGATTAGTTGTATCCTATACATTTTTAAATGTAGACATGAGAATTAGTGTAACTGTTAAAAGGACAGTCAACTATTTACGCTGTGATGCTTTAATAAAACAGTCAGAATACATTTATTTGCTTACTCGATAGATATTTTACAAGTCCTAGTACCTTTCCATGTTTTCATTTTTATTATTGTTAACAATTACAGCCAGACAGTTATTTCAAATAACATTATAAAACGGTGTAATTATGTGTTTTTTAAAAATTGAAATGACGTTTACAAGGGAATCTAACAATAGTTTTTGGATCGGATCTGTTGTATATTTAATGTAGAGTATGTAATACAAGCTGTTTCTAACAATGAGCTTTTTTATATAGCATTATTCATGATGAACTTGTTACTCAGTACAGATTAAAAGTTCTTTAGTTGCTGCCAAACACCAACATACAAAGAGCCAGTGTTTTCTGTATACTGACTTTAATAAACGATATAGAAACTTCTAATATCCCCACAAGTCAGAATGAATCAACATCACATGCATTAAATATCAGCCGAAATGATATTACATTTTCCCCATTTAACAAACATAATTTTTTCAGTTCTGAAGTAGGCCAGGATCTTCCTGAATAGCCCAACGTTTATTTCTTTATCTGTAGCACTCAGCGACGCTGATCAAACTCATGGCTAACATTATTTTTCATTAAAATTAGAAATTCATCATGTTGATGAATATCAACTTGGAAAGAACATAAGTACATGGCTTCCTCTTGATTAAATCCAACTAAAATCCTAAGATATTGTGATCGATTCTTGTACTATTTGCCTTTAATATATTACTCAAGTAGTTAATTATCAGGACGATTAGTTTTTCAATAAATTAATAATAGCTATCGAAGTTACAATCAAATAAAACAATATTGGTAAAATAAAACAAGATTCAGTGTTTGAAATCTTGTCACCATTATCACTGGTTACCCAAGATATGATATATAATTCATCTCTATTTACTATATAACTTGAAGTTCACGAAATAGAACTACCATTTTAAAATCATTCACTTACAAATCAAGCGTTCACTCACGAGATTCAAGTCTGGGTTCGAATCCCACATGGGGCATCGTAGATGCGAACTGCTGAGGAGTCCCACAACAGGACGAATCGACTGTCCAGTGCTTCCAGGTTTTCATTGGTGATCTAACATCCATCCATTCATGATACCAATCAAAAACTTAATAATCTCCACAACTCCATACTGACAAAAAGAAAATATATTCCATACTTAAAATGTAAATTCATGGTCATCATTTAGTGTGTCTGAGATGTTATATGGTTGTAAGTAATTGTTGTGAAACCCTTGACTTTAGTTTACGTTTAGTTGGCAATTGTCATGAAAGTTTATCTGCAATTTAATTCCGTAACTATGTTACAATTTGGTATGGTAAGCAATTCGAGAACATTGAGGCCACAAAACTTGTCAATGTTATTTCAGGTTTCAATCTTCACATTTTCAAAAAATGACGATGATTACTAGTAATACAAAACCAATATTTCATAAAGCTTCATTAAATCGAATATAAACAAATTCTTTTTTATATTTTAATGTATATATAACATCAAAGCTTGTTTATTCACATTAGAAATAATGAAACTATTATATATATATCGTTATTCATAAATAACACATTGTTTATCTCATACAATCAAATGCTACTGTAATAATTATATCTCTGGTAAGATATACATAGTTAAGTGTAGTTAATGCTTACTCTCTTAAAGATTCACCATATTTTATGTAACATTGTACTGATTTGTAAACAAACCGAATTTATTATTGTATATTTGTTACTAATTATATTTCAAATAAATTAAATAAGATAAATAAAATAAATTTATCAGTAATAGTTACATAATTTTCAAATTTGTTAAATTAATCCCACCGTAATGTTAAAAGATATTTACAAATACTTTATAAAGTATTATGATGAGACTATAATTTATGGACGACCATTGAGCGATGCTGAAGTGATCATGAGAGTGAACAACTACTAATGAGGACTAAATGAGGATTATAAAAGTTAGAATTCTCATTTACAATTGATGGTTAGAGTTAAAAATTAGATTTAGGGTTTTCATCAGGAATTAACATCAGCTATGAATGCCAAAACTCTATTTAGCCAAATGTATGGATGAATTTCGCACCTAAATTCATGACTTGTTATCTTTTATCTGATATGTTCGTCCATAAATTATAGTCTCGCCACAAAGAGACAAGAGGGTCGAACAGTAAAGAATGGAAACAGGATGTAATTTGTATGGAAATGCAAGAACAATGAAGTCTAAGTCATTTTGAGACAATTGGTCGACATTTTGCAAATTAAGCATTTATTTTAAGATTTTTAGATTTTCTTACCAAGTTCTGCAATTTTGTATTAAATACATTCGATTGTCCCCACTGTTGTTCTTGTTCACTATATTATTACTTTCGAAATGAACAATTATGTATAAACTTAAAGAATGAAGAAAATCGACTTTAACAAAATAACTATGACTAGAATAATGTAATCAAATATCCACATATTAATAATATAATGAATGAAGAGGGAAGAGTTTTGTTTAATGTAATCAAATTCAATGAATGTAAAATGTACCATAAATGTTCAATTTATTTTCATAAAAGTAGTATTTATTGATATTTAAGAAAATATATCCAATAAATTCCATTGAATATAGCAAATACTATAGGATAAATAATAGACCATATACGATCTAATAAAAATGATTTATCAAGATGTTTACATTTTATTACTTGATGACTACCATCACAGAATATAATCTTCTTTTGTTTATTTGATAATGGATCAAAATTTCGAATTACTGATTTTGGTGGTGTACTTGTTGAAGAAATATTTTTATGAGTTTTACATAAGTCGTTATTATTTCTTAATGTTTTTTCATCAGATTGGTCATCATTATTTTTTACTTTATTAATGTATTTTTGCAGAAAGTCTAATAGTTCATCAGATGTTGTTAAAACTATACAATCATTACTGATATGATTTATTGAATTTAAGCTACCTGACTTTGATCTTCGTCTAGCTAATGAATTTGCAATAGCAAATTCAAGTAATGAGCTAACAACAAACGCTAAACATACAAATAACCAAATATCAATTCCTTTAATGTATGAAACTCGTGGTACTTGAGTTAATATAGCTGCACTTTGTGTGATTAAAGCTAAAACACACAAAAGTCCGATGGAAATACGAGCTGGTACAGCTTCATAATCTACAAAAAATGATAACCATGCAATTACCACCAAAAGAAGAGAAGGTAGATAAGCATAAATAAGATAAAAACCAAATCGTCTCTTTAAATGAAATACAGCTTCTATACAAGAAAATCGACCAGTAGTAGAGTATTCCATTTTGCAATAGCTTGTATCATAAGATAATAAGTCAAATTCATTTATTTCTAATCCAGACCGTATTTGTACAGCCATAGATCTTGATTGATTTGTTGTAGGTATCAGACCAAACTGATCGTATCCATCTGTATTCCACCAACGAAATTCTAAGTCACTTTTTGAATATCCATAACTACCGATATTTATTGTACAGTGTTGTGAATCAAACGGAAATGAATGCAAAGTCATATGACATGATAATTTCATGGATATTTTCTGACTGAATGTGATCAAACCATTCGAATCAAGCCAAATTAAATAGTTTGGTGTAGTCATGTCATGTAAAAATCCATGTTTAGCATTACGAAAAAATAAATCCGGGATCCAAATTTGGTTTTTGGCATAGGAAATAGGCAACTGAGTAAAGTTATAGCCAGAAGACAATTTCAGTCTTGTATCTAACCATCGCTGACGCAACATAAAATCAACTGTAAAATCCATATTAACTACACTAATTGAACTGAAACTATGTATAAATGTATTAACTTCTACAATTAATGGTCCATTGTATGGGACATAATTCATTGACTTTTGTGAATTATTGTTTGTTTTAATCATTTGTAAATTTCTAGGTCGTTCAGTACGAACATAAGTGGATAATAAATGTTGTATTTCTGTTTCTAAACTATTATTTCCCAATGTCATATTTTTGTTCAAGTTACATTCTTCATTTATTAAACTATTCGGTGAATGTTGAGCAGAGATAAAAGAAAACAAAATTTGATTTAAAAAAGTAAATATTAACGGATTATGGAGCATAATCATGAATTTAGAAAAAAAAATTGATCAATGAAAAAATTGATTTGTGGAAGTCAAACGTTTAAATTAGCTCCATTGAATTTCTCCTAAAAAAAGACAATGAAATAAATTTAAAAAAACAGTTATTTAAATAAACAAATAAAACGATGTATCTAAGATGGATTATTTTGTGAATCAATGTTGTTTTAACAGGTGTTGGCGATTAACTTGAACTTTCAAAACAGATTCAGTATCTAATTCACTTGGTATTGTTTACTTGAATCTTTCCATTGAGGTTTAGGACTGTAATTGATCAGTCTCTTGATGGCATGTGTGCATATCAGGACTCAGTTGCTAGGTGGATAACGCGATGGCGTTTGAAGCAAACGGTACTGGATTTGAGTCTCAGAGTGAACATCAACTCTGAGATGCAGGTACATCCAGCTGGCGAGTCCCAAATAGGACGAAACGTGCATCCTGGATCTCACTGCTAGCCATCATCCATCTTTAGATTCAGTAACATATTGAAAACTACCGATTTCCATCTCATATAAGAAGTGATAACGGTTTCTTTAAATTTGTTTCTACGAGAAATTAAATGTTAAGTTTGTCATTGGGTATTTTTGTCATCAAGAAAAGTTGTAAACTAGGGGAATGAACACTGTTACTAGTGTTAAATTATGGTAAATTCGAAATTTTTCATTTTCATTATCATATATGAACTTTAAAGTTTATCAGAAGCTGTCTACACTTAAGCTGAGGGTTACACTAAATAAGATCAGTGTGTTAGTCACTTGAGAAATATAAAAGGAGTCATTCAGTTCGAAGGATATTACATCATTCCTAAACTGATAACTGAGATTATGAAGAATTTCTTTTCAGCTTTTAAACTATTTGGAGTTTTTTGATTGAGATCATGAATCGATGAATGTTAGACCATCATTGAAAACCTGGAATCACAAGATTACCGTCTCGTCCTAGAATGGAACTCCTCAGATGTGTGCACCTACGATCCCTCACATGGGATTTGAACACAGAACCTTCTATCAGGTAGAGACAGGTATGGTCACGCCATCGACTTAAGCTAGACATTAACACCGTTGGATGCCGGCTCAGTGGTGATCTAACATTCATCGATTTATGCGCTCAATCAAAAAACTAAACAATCTCCACAACCCCACATTGATATTTGAAGTTTTACGAACTTAGCTTCAGGCGGTAATTTACCATTGACTAGTTTGTCCTTTATCAGCAATCCAGTTCAATACTTTATATGTAACACACTCGAAAAATCACCTCAGCTATATGTTTTCATACAATACATGATTTTAAATCTAGGTCTGAAGAGTGAAAAACTGTTATAAATTAACAGATTGTGGTTTTCATGATTTTACTAATATCTAATCGCAAAGTTAATACAGCCCTATCAACTGAACTGCAAACTTTTATTAAACAACTGATGAATTATTTCACTTCCCGGTACAACTAGATGTTTCTGTTCATATGAAAGAACAAACAACTCAAATGGAAACTAACTATATAAGTTGCAAAGCATGTGATAGAATTCATGGCAGTTGAAAGAAAAATATGTTCTTTCAACTTAATAACATTGCTATCAATATTAAAGAAATTAGTGATCTCCTCGATAATCATGTAAATAATATTTCTCAAAGTCGGAAAAAACAGCTTTGTTATTCTCCTTGACTATAAACAGTAATACAGATGAGTCCGTTTAAGATTTATTGCAGGTTACAAGGCGTTGGATAACTTGAAATATTACCCTTGAACTCAGATGCTGAATATTGTCATTTATATCATAAGATCAAAATGTGCCAAGTTTCGTCTTAGTATATGTAGTAATGCTACCTTTTGTTTTTAATGAATCCCCAATATTCTTTCAAATTCAATAAAATTCAGATAATAATTTAAAACGTACCATACTAGTTACATAATCACTAACATAACTGTTATGCTATTGATGAATAATATTCCATCTCAGTTCGCATTTTCTCCATTAAATATGTCCATTGACTGTGTTTCTCATGAAACTCAAACATTTCTACTTAGGATTACAGCTAAACAAACAACATAGTGTAACATGAATATAGTTACTACTCAAAATACCAAACAATTTGCTGGCTTAAACTAATAAGTAGAGATTTTGTGTATATTTTAGTAATTTTGTAGTTGAACTCATGAGTCAATTGAAGCAACGCGGGATCGTGGATGCGCACTGCTTAAGATTCCCATACTAGGACGAAACGGACGTCCAGTTCTTCCAGGTTTTATATGGTGTTCTAGCTCCAAGTGGCTCATGAATTTAACTATGAAATTACTTAAATCTCCACAAAATCTCCTTTTGATAACAAACACCTTCATCACATTAAAACATTGAGTATACGGTTTTAAAAACAAGTTTTGATCAAATAATTATTGTGGTGATATCAGATTTCATTTAAAGAAAAAAATGAAGTTAATTCTTGGAATAAATACAAAAACGAGGTGAAGAATGATTAGCATTACGTTTTTTCTTAATTACAAGTAATAGATTTATTTACAATAGATTCTATAAATTTTTATTTAGTAACTTGAATTCTGTGAGTAAAAGATTTATCTTTCCCTGTAATTGTGAAAATGTAAGATGAGACTGAGATTGTTTTATTATTCTATCATAAACAATTATTTCTGCTTTTTTCTGATTTAATTAATTTATGAATAAAAAAATATTTTATTATTGGAAAGGAGGTTTTGTGGAGATTGTAGTAATTTTATACATAAATTCATGAGTTGATTAAAATTAGACACCATGGGAAACCTGGAAGCACTGAACGTCCGTTTCGTCTTAGTATAGGATTTCTCAGGTCTCGGGTTCGAATCCCGGGGGCAGGATCGTGGATACGCACTACTGAGGAGTCCCAAAATAAGACAAAACGGTCTTTCAGTGCTTCCGTGTTTTCCATGGTGATACAGCTTTTATTGATTCATGGATTCAACTACTAAATATTTTATTATCATATATTCGTGAAAAAAAACGAAAGATAATAATATTTATGTATCGTGCTTATGCTAATTTAATTAAGCTGGAAAGTGGGAAATAATAAAAATTTTGATTCGTTTACTCAGTTTACCAAATTTCATTGTATAAATAAATAAGACAAGCATTTCTATAAATACTTATTAGTTTAAGCGAGCAAATTGTTCGGTATTTTGAGTAGTAACTATATTCATGTTACACTATGTTGTTTGTTTAGCTGTAATCCTAAGTAGAAATGTTTGAGTTTCATGAGAAACACAGTCAATGGACATATTTAATGGAGAAAATGCGAACTGAGATGGAATATTATTCATCAATAGCATAACAGTTATGTTAGTGATTATGTAACTAGTATGGTACGTTTTAAATTATTATCTGAATCTTATTGAATTTGAAAGAATATTGGGGATTCATTAACAACAAAAGGTAGCATTACTACATATACTAAGACGAAACTTGGCACATTTTGATCTTGTGATATAAATGACAATATTCAGCATTTGAGTTCAACTATAGATGATGTTTGCGTTGAAAAAGAATGTTTCTGTGTAAAATATTAGTATTTTCATATGAAAACCTTTAAATATATACAGTGAAGAAAAAAATTAACTGTAATTATTATAGAGAAAGAATGTATTTGTAAAATCTCAACGAATGAATTTGAAGTAAATCAAACGTTTCGCCTGAAAATCTGGTCCAAGCTTTTGCAAGGAGTTTAACATGTGCGCGAGTCATTGGGTGTTACGAAACCCAAAGGCGAAGTGAAGGTAAAGGTTCGGCTTGTCCGGACTGAGGTGAGATCCTGTTGTCTTGCTCTTACTTTTCAAGTTGCGAGCAGCGGACGCATCACCGGCCCGTCCCATGACGTAGACATGTGACCTCGTGTTATGTGCACCGTCGGGGCGGAGCAAGAGCGTACACGTTGAAACCCGAAAGATGGTGAAATATGCTTGTGAAGGTTGAAGCCAGAGGAAACTCTGGTGGAGGGCCGTAGCAATTCTGACGTGCAAATCGATCGTATAACGTGAGCATAGGGGCGAAAGACTAATCCCAAATTAACTTGGCGCCCAAATACTGTGAAACTATTCGATCAAATCTGGACGAAAGTTCTTATGTAATTACTATGTTTAAAATCTGTACTTTAATTTACTGAATTTCATTACAAGTTATTTCTTTTTTAAATTTAATTATTTTTTTACTTCTATTTTGTAACATGTTGTAGACAGTATTAAAACAAAGTACATTTCAATAGTGTTGTTAGTATAAATAAAGAGGTAACTACTTTTGGATACAAATTAATAATTGACAATCTTATCAATACGATCATATATTCAATGAATTCAATAGAAATTTGGAATTATTCTAAGTATGTGTAAAATTAATACAAATACAAAGATTGAATTATTCATTCAAAAAATAACTGTCTTGTAACTCTTTCATGAATGTTTCAAGATTTTAATTAGAATATTTGAATGTTTTTTGTATATTTGTTAAAAGTGATTTTATTCAATCTTATACGATTTCCAATAATCATTGTACAGTCCATTATTTATTTATTTGAACACATAAGCATTGGTACAAGTAGGCACCAGATAGATAGGCGCCACACAAATCATTCGATTTGTGTGTGGGCTATGATATTCGCCTGGTGCCCGAACCAAAGCAGGTGGTTTTCGTAAGGGTCACTCCCCGAGCCTTTGACCTAAAGGTCTAATCCACAAGGCAGTGGAGCGACGTAAGCAGATAAACTCTCATGGTAGCCGGTTAACAACAATATGTTCATACGCCTTTTGTTCTTCCAGGATCCTAGAGACCATATGCGCCACTGGTTTGGAATCAGGGTTTTCCTACTCCCTAATGTGAATCCTCCGCATCCATTAGGTCGCTTTTCGTCCTCTCAGTTTCGTAAGCAACGCCCCCGCTATGAGAAGGTAACGAGTAGGACTTTTCTGGCAGTTGTTGTATGCACTTGGCCATGTGAGAGCATTTTAAGAGGGAGAGCTGACTCTCTCCACTCTCGAAAGTAACATGGTATTTGAGGGCACTTATGAATAAGCATTCTGTTTTTATTTT